AGGTGGAACAGAGCATTTTGAGCTTTGCGGATGCAGATAGTCTAATAATCCAGGATTACTCAGACATGTGTGAATGAAACAAAACACAACTTCAGGTCTGTTTTTGTTGAATTAACAACATTATAACAAGGCTAAAAGCTCACAAGAATCCATTTTATGTAATATAGGACCTTGAAAATATCTATAGAGGAATAGACCTCAATATTTTAGAAATCCATGTTCTACCCTTATGGTCATATGTTCATTTATTACAGTATCGTTATCAATTCATAATTTCAGTAACAATACTACTTTTTGTTTACAGCTTAAAGGGACAGTCCGGAATTTTGGACATAGGACCTCATTTCCTAGTGATCCAGAGTGTTGGAGACGTGTGGAGACACTTTTTAAAATATTCCATCCAGTCCTTGTGTTTGCAGAGGTCACTGGTGTTATACTAGTGCATGTCAATGGTCATAGTTTATCCTGCTGCTAAAAACACTCTGTTACCCACTCCACAAAACACCCAAGAAAATCTAATATTAATTAATCAATTAATTAATCATTGCATTTATGTACTGCCTTTCAAGATACCCAAAGCATTTTACAGTTCATTATTCAGTCACTCCATACTGGTGGTAAACTACTACTGTAGCCACAGCTGCCCTGGGGTAGACTGACGGAAGCGAGGCTGCCAGTCTGCACCATCTGCCCCTCCAACCATCACTCACACATACACACCGCTTTCATACTGCACGATGTCAATGTAAATGTCTGTGAGTGCGTATACATGCACATCAATAACCCGGTTATTAGCCATATCCCGGTTATGTCAGTATTCGGGTTACTGCGTTTACATGCGCACTGAGAAACCGGGACACTCATATCATATATATACATGATCAAATGGAGTATCCCAGTTTCTTGACATAATCTTACAAATGCGCAGGCGCAAAAATTAACTTAAATCAATTTCATAAACCAGGAAAAATACAAACCGTGAGCTCCTTTAGCATAAGAAGCTAAGGAGTTACGAGATCTCCCACAATCCACTGTGCAGATTCTTCATTAAAATCTTCTGCATAAATAAACTCAACTTTACAACATATAAACCATAAACACTATAGACACACCAGCCCGTTTGATCAGATCATTCAGATGTGATCACATTTGTTTACGTTTTACAGAAACGAAACTTAAGACCGTTTGGCTAATTAGCATAAACTGTTAGCGGCGATAAAAACAACTCGCTCCTTTCTTTTGGACTAAATGACACGACTCTGTGGATTATGTGTGTTATTTCTGTGACAGAAGAGGCGCTGATGATGGTAAGAGTGTTTCGTGCGTATAGAGTATAGGAGATAGTTCATGTTTTAGCTTTTCAGCGTCACACGAGTGCAGGTCGTACGAGTGCAGATTGTACTTGTGCAGGTTTGGTCACTTTATTTATGTTGGTCACTTTATTTATGTCACTACTGTTGTGGTGAAAGGCTGGAAAGTGTCTTTTGGACGCATGCGCACTCAACTTTATGTTGCAGTAACCGGGGTACTGCGTATACATGCCACAAGTAACCCGGTTACTATCGGAATAAACCAGCTACAGTAACCCGGTTTCTAATAACCGGGATACTGCCATAACCGGGTTACTGAAACCGGGTTACTGCGTATACATGCACCATCAAGAAACCGGGATACTCAAAAAACCCGATCATAACCGGGTTACTGATGTGCATGTATACGCACTCTGTGTTGATAGAATAATGTTTGAAATAAAACTAACTTTGCATCGCATGAATCGTCGCATGTTGAGGGACTATTTTCTCAGCAGCAGCGGAATTTTACTGTGCCGGTAAAATAGGTGCTCGGTGATATCAGTCCGCCGCTGCCGAGCTTCTATCAGGAAGTACAACGCGCTGCTGCTGCTCAGACATAAATCCTTCAAATGTAAGGTTGGTTTTACTTCTAGAATTATTCCATCGACACAGACATTCACATGGACAGTCTGGTGTAATAATAGATTTTCTTCGGGTGTTTTGTGGAGTGGGTAAGACTGTTTTTAGTGGCAGGATAAATATGACCATTGACATGCACTAGTCTAGCACCAGTGACCTCTGCAAATACAAGGACTGGATGGAATATTTTTTTTAAAAGTGTCTCCACACGTCTCCAACACTCTGGCTCACGAGGAAATGAGCTCCTATGTCCAAAATTCTGGACTGTCCCTTTAAAGTGACAAAAGCTCATTCTTTAAAAGGTTTCGAGTAATTATTTTGATCTATATACTGCAGTTTTTCTTCTGTTTTGACAATATTAATATAAAACTTCATTTCACTGTGCAACTTTTTGGTACAAGTCCAGCACCTGGTTGTGTCCATGGAGATATGTTACTGAGATTGCTTTCGCTGGAATGCACCACAGTATGGCATTAAACCTACTTATTATTTAATTATACATGTTTTTTTTTTCAATAAAACAATCCCTTGAAAAACGCACATTCTCCGCAAATCAGACCTGTAAACTGGCTCGGTGCTCGTCTCCAAGTTAAATATCATCACTGTGAAAAATTCCGGGCAAAGCAACAACATCTCCGTGGTAGCGGACCCTCCACCCGGAATGTTACACAGTGCACCTTTAACTTCAGCTTGATTAATATCCTCAGCTGCTCCATCGTCAGGTCAGGGCCCATTCAAGATTAAAACAATAAAACGAGCCACACTTCAGCCCACCCACATTTTAATAAAACTGAGAAAATGGGCCCTGGACCAGTAATCACAGAGTTGTGTTTTAATATGAAATCATTTGTGTCCTTATGTCCATGAGAGACGACGGGCTGGACCACGCGCACATGTGGTCCCAGATATGACTAACACTTCTCCAGGAAAAGTTCAGATTTATAGGTGGGCTGTGTCCTTTTCTGGTTAAGGGTAAGAGTCTGTTTGAATGGGATCCAGCGTAAACACTTCTCCAGTGCTGCGCTTATGGAGATATGAGTCTGGTCTCTGGTGAATCTCTCCCAATCCAGGTGGGCGTGACTGACAGGTGGATTAGCCAATCAGGGACACGCGTTGGTCAAAACAAATATGACTGAAGAAAGGAAAAGGAAGCACAGGGGACTGAAAAACACTGCGAATTTCAGTAGAATCAGTGAGCAAAGCAATAAACTCTCTTTATCTGAGGTTGGGCCGCACAAAGGACAACGTCCAGACGTCTTTTGAAAGAAATTGTAAACTGCCTTGAATTATATTTGCATAGATACCTAATTGTAATTGCACAATAATCTGCTTTGCCAGTAAGGCCCCATCCTCACTAGTACATATTCGAGTCATTTTTGTTGTGGATGCAGTGTTCATAGACACTAATCCGATGGAAAACGGCTCGAGAGACAGAACGATCTGGTGCAGCCAGCTCCCACGAATTCATCTGAGTACGGCTCTGACCCAGCACCGTGTGGACACCTGAAAACGCTGATACGGTGACGTAGGAGCTCTATTTGCCGTCTTTATTGGACCACGTCACTGACTTGCGCCTTCCTGATTCGCTCGGTTCGTGACATCGGCCATGCGACGCTTTTGTGGAAAATAGTTTTAACAACAGTTTAGCTATGGAAGTTTGCAAAATCCATAAATGCAAAAGGGAAAACTGCAAACTGTTTCCCTTCCCACACTTCTCCAGTACTGCGCTTATGGAGATATGAGTCTGGTCTCTGGTGAATCTCTCTAAATCCAGGTGGGCGTGACTGACAGGTGGATTAGCCAATCAGGGACACGCGTTGGTCAAAACAAATATGACTGAAGAAAGGGAAAGGAATCACAGGGGACTGAAAAACACTGCGAATTTCAGTAGAATCAGTGAGCAAAGCAATAAACTCTCTTTATCTGAGGTTGGGCCGCACAAAGGACGAAGTCAGAGTCCGGACGTCTTTTGAAAAAAATTGTAAACTGCCTTGAATTATATTTGCATAGATATCTAATTGTAATTGCACGATAATCTGCTTTGCAAATTAGGCCTCATCCACATTAGTGCGTATTTGACTTGTTTTCGTTGTGGAGGCAGTGTTCGTCCACACTAATCCGATGGAAAATGGCTCCAGAACCGGAACGATCTGGTGCTACCTAAAAACGTTGATACGCTGACGTAGGAGCTCTAGTTGTCGTCCTTATTAGACCACGTCACTGTGACTTGTGCCTTCCTGATTTGCTCGGTTCATGACATCGGTCATGTGACGCTTTTGTGGAAAATGTTTTAAGAGCAGTTTAGCTTCGGAAGTTTGCGAAATCCATAAATGCAAAAGGGAAAACTGCAAACTGTTTCCCTTCCCAATGAAATTGAAAAATAGTGAAAGGCGAAGGCGATGGGCAGGATTGATCCACAGGAAGGACGAGAAAAGAAACCTTTGGCTGCCTAAGAAATCATCTCGAGTTTGCAGTTAACATTTTGTATGTGGAGCACCAACAAAGCAAAATTCCGATACCTCGCTCAAACTTGGTTACGAATTTAAAAAGTCAACGCCAAAGCGAAAGGCACCAACGCCAAGAAACACCTTCCACTGCAAAGAGACCAAGACGTGATGTTGATGTAAAGTCGAATAAGATAGTGCGAGCTCAGCCTGAAAATCGAAAATCGCAATCTCAGACATCACGATTTTGGGAGCATCAGTGTGACTTGTGCCTTCCTGATTCACTCGGTTCGTGACATCGGTCATGTGACGCTTTTGTGGAAAACAGTTTAAACAAACTTTAGACAAAGGGGAAACAGTGTATCTAGAACTACTCAGTAACAACTGGACCTCGTCATTCGGTCCAAGAAAAGACTGTTTTCACGCTTGCCATCTTCCTCGGCTCGAAACAGGCTGCTGCAACTTCAGACACACTGCTCCACTTCCTTGTACCGCCCATGTGACGTTCTGACATTGTGACGCCAGCCAAGTCATGTCATGGCAGTTTCGCGTTACTGTGTGAATAGTGAAGGCTTTGATTGCATACACATAAACAACATGTCTGGATGCAAATCGTTTCTGATACAGTGATTCGTTTCAGTGGAAACGTAACCTAAGAAAGTGAGGAGTAAACTTGTTTCTTCACAATTTAGCAATTTTCCCCAAATCTTGATGATTAAAAACCCAAATTAATCAAATCTAATTAATTTGATTAATTGCTCTAATCTGAGATGTGAGAAATAGGATTTTGTTTGTAAATGATGGTGGCCAATGAGCTCCTATGTTTTTTGTTTTCACTGAAATAAACAAATCTGATTGGACGACATGTTTGTTCAAACACTGATTTCCCTCTGTATAAAAAATACATTCTGGACTTGCCAGGCAATGAATATGTCATTGCATTGCATAGAATATTCCGCAGTATGGCATTAAATGTATGTCTCTCTATGGAAACAAGCAGGTGACGCCACTACGCCAAGTTAAAGGTTAGATCTGTGGAGAGGCGAGCCCACTCTTAATGGTAATGCATGTGTTTAGGTATTTTTGTAGCAGTAAAACACTTTAATAAAGTATGCAGATGGGTAAAGTAATGCCGTACTGTGGAACATTCTAAGTAAAGCAATGACATCTCCTTAGGAACAAGCAGGTGACAGAGCCTCCACCAGAGAAGTTAGTGCACTTTTATAATGAACATTTTGAAACAATATTAATGTATTTTTATCGTTAAATGGTAATAATTTTGTTTTTTAACGCGGAGGAGTGCTCTGGTTTGGTCATGAACTTTTGCACGTCTTTGTGAGCTTGTGCTGTTTTAGTGGTTGTGAAAATTAGCCCGAGTGCCAAAACATCTCACGTGTTTAAAATCACATTTGGCAGCCAGGTCCTGTCAAAGCGGCCAATATTCAACACGAATATGATTCTTATTAGTGAAGAAACAGACTACAGAGAAACTGCACTTTAAAAGACGTGATTTTGTTCTCTAGTTTATCTCTGTTTAATTAATTTGGGAGGAAAATGACCCCAAAAATCTTTAAAGGTTTCGATTTAGTAGAATTTATTTTTGCACTGATTTTGAACCAACTAAAGTAAACTTCTCTCAAATGTGGATCAGTAACAAAGCAAATGTTTTCACAATCACAATTAAAATCACCGCGATATCAGCAGCAGTTAAATACCATTGTTACGGTTCTCAGTGTCCCGGAGGTGCGCCCATGTAGACCGTCGGGTGACCGCGGGTGAAAGGACCGGCACACAGCAAAATGCAGCTGATGCCCGATTGCGTTTTGTGGACACCTTAGTCCTGGTTTAGACCTGATTCAGTCCTTGTTCAGTTCTGGTTTAGTCCTGGTTCAGTTCTGGTTCTTTCCTCCTGGTCCATTTCTGGTTTATTTCTGGTTCAGTCCTGGTTTAGTCCTGGTTCAGTTCTGGTTTAGACCTGATTTAGTCCTGGTTTAGACCTGATTTAGTCCTGGTCCTTTTAGTCCTGGTTCGGCTTTGGTTCATTTCTGGTTTAGAGTCCTGGTTTAGTCCTGGTCAGTCCTGATTTAGTCCTGGTTTAGTCCTGATTTAGTCCTGATTTAGTCCTGGTTTAGTCCTGATTTAGTCCTGGTTTAGTCCTGATTTAGTCCTGATTTAGTCCTGATTTAGTCCTGGTTTAGTCCTGATTTAGTCCTGGATTTAGTCCTGATTTAGTCCTGATTTAGTCCTGATTTAGTCCTGGTTTAGTCCTGATTTAGTCCTGATTTAGTCCTGATTTAGTCCTGATTTAGACCTGGTTCAGTCCTGATTTAGTCCTGGTTTTAGTCCTGGTTTATTTAGTCCTGGTTTAGTCCTGATTTAGTCCTGGTTTAGTCCTGGTTTAGTCCTGATTTAGTCCTGATTTAGTCCTGATTTAGTCCTGGTTTAGACCTGGTTTAGACCTGGTTTAGTCCTGGTTTAGTTCTGGTTTAGTTCTTGTTTAGTCCCTTGCCCAACAGTTTAAATAAATGATGTAGTTTGTAATACAGCAGTGGGCACAGATTTAAAAGAAAGGTTCACATATAAAATGCTACATGTACTGCATTTTCCATTCTTCATTTTGTTTCTGTAGGACAATGTGGGTGTAACTGTCATTAAAAGGAGAAAATATTATAATTTGCATGTAATAAAGTGATTTATACTAAAGAAACTAGGAGATACTTAAGACAAAATGGGCTGAGATCCGCTTCCATTTGTGTTTTCCAGGTTTACAGGTTTTGTACGTGTTGCTCAGCTCTGTTTTCTTTCGCGAATTTCTAAATGTAACCCCCATGTTTTGTTTTTCTCCAGGATAAAATCATCGAGCGTCTGAAGGAGCAGCGGGAGAAGGAGGAGAGAGAGAAGGGAGACGAGATGGAGACGAGTAAAAAAGAGCTGAAGGATCTGAGAGAGAGAGTGTCCCAGCTGCAGGCGGACCTGGCCGATCGAGAGGTAAACACACACACAGAGTTTCATCGAGCTTATGGGAACAATACACCCATTAAAACATCTTTTCTAGACTTATTTAACTCTTTCCCCCATGAAGACGACATTTGACGACCCCCGTTGAACCCTTAATGACGACTTTTGACACCTCCGCCGTATCACTAAAGACGAGATTTGACGACCTTTAGAAATGGCTCGGTTTTTCACATTTAAACAGAGACTGTGATCGGTGGGGGCCACTACAACCCACACTAGACTGACCAATAGGATTCAAGGATATGTTTTCGCCGATTTTTTCCGAAGTTAATCGAAATAGTGACGATGGTAGCTTCCGGAAAAAACACAACACGAAACACGTGCAATGGAAAGATCGCGGCGCTGCGGCGCACAGTTTTAGAAATAATGAGGAGCGGACGTATTTTATGGATAAGTTTAGAGAAAGTGACTTTTATAGATTTCAAAGTGATGATGTTGAAGTTGATTATAAAGTGGAAAACAGCGACAGCGACGGACTTTCGGGGAGAAGGTGAGAATGCCGCTGATGCGTCTGTGTGGAGTCCTGCGATGTCCCAACAAACTATCTGAGCTTTATACTCGATTATGAAAATCCGATGAAAATTGCCCTGAAATCTGGATGTTGCCCAGGTTAGTCCTTTAAAATATTTCAGTCTTTTTTTCCAAGATGCGATGTATAACAGAATCACTACAGAAAAAAACTCTTATGCGGAGCTCTGCACACGAGAAAGAAACCAAGATGACAAATACTGGACTCACACTGACGGGGAAGAGTTTTATTATTATATTATTATATTATAATAAGCTAAATTAGTTGAATAAATAAAATAAGTTGAATAAGTTAAATGAGTTGAATAAGCTAAATGGAAAAAAATGAATTAGGTGCACACAGGTGTACAACAGGTAAAAACAGGTGCACACTTGGCTCTACTGTATCTGGTGATATGAAATCTGTTTAAATACTTTGACAAAGTATATTTTTAATTTTTTAATGAATATAGTTCTCAGAACATGCAGATATCAGATGCTGAATGTAGTTTTTTGTTTTCGAGTTTGCACCTGACCAGGTAAACTCTCATGTTCAGTGAGCTGTTATACACCTATAAATGAGTTGAATCACATTTAAACATCCATAAATGAAGAGTCAGAGTCTAAGGTTTCCAGAGATACTAAATATGTCTGTGTTACAATTAAGTTCATGAGTGTAAAAATCATTTATAATCACTTGTGGAAGTCTGTTTTCTTTTATGCAGTTATGCTCTATGGGTAGAACTAGTAACATATGTATGGGTTGTTCCTAGTCGGCGTCCAGGGGGGAAAGAGTTAAAACATATTTTGTATTTATACATTTACAGGTGTTTTTTATTTCTAAACAATACATGCATCTTGAATCTCGGACTTCTGGTCGTCGCGCAATTCATACTGGGAAAGGTCCTCCGATAAAGTGAACATCAAACCGCCATGTTTGATTTCCCAGTGGGATGCGTCTGTTGTCAAAGTCGATCTTTTCAAGTCTTTTGAACCATATCGCTTTTGTTTCTGGTTCTGATATTGTCATATTTTGGTTTTGGGATTCGGACATCGTAATTGTGTGGTTGTTGGATCCTAACAGCGGAAAACGTCTCGAGAAATGGGCTTCGGAAGTTTGTGAACTCCATAAATGCAAAAGGGAAAACTGCAAACTGTTTCCCTTCTCAACGAAATTGAAAAATTGTGAAAGGCGAAGGCGATGGGCAGGATTGATCCACAGGAAGGACCAAAAAGGAAACGTTTGGCTGCCTAAGAAATAATCCCGAGTTTGCAGCGAACATTTTGTACGTGGAGCGACAACAAAGCACAATCCCGATCCGTCGCTCAACCTCAGTTACATTTTAAAAAGTCGACGCCAAAGTGAAAGTCACCAGCTGTTCGCCAAGAAACACCTTCCACTGCAAAGAGACCAAGACGTGATGTTGCTGTAAAACCAAAAGAACAAGAAAGTGTGAGCTCAGTCTGTTTGTCTTCTGCACCTCTCGATTAACAAACAGGATTTTGCTTTGTTGTTGCTCCACGTATAAAATGTTCACTGCAAACTTGGAATGATTTAGGCAGTTAAAGGTTTTGTTTTTGGTCCTTCCCGTGGATCAGTCCTGCCCATCGCCTTCACCTTTCACTATTTTTTAATTCTGTTTTGAAGGGAAACAGTTGAACGGAGGTTTGCAGTCACACACATCTGATTCCCTTTTGCAGTTATTGATTTGGCAAACGTCTGAAGCTCGTTTTCCGCTGTTAGAACATCCAACAACCGCACAATTACGATGTCAGAATCCCAAAACTAAAATATGACAATATCAGAAACAGAAACAAAAGGGAAGATAGATTGACTTTGACAATAGGTGCATCTGTAACGGCTGCGTTGTCTTCGTCAGGCCGTATACAAAGGACAGGACACAGTGTGGAGTCAGTCCGCTTTATTCCTGTGACATATAATACTTTATTAACTCTTTCCCCCCTGGACGCCGACTAGGAACAACCCATACATATGTTACTAGGGCTACACCCATAGAGCATAATTGCATAAAAGAAAACAGACTTCCACGAGTGATATAAATGATTTTTTACACTCATGAACTTTATTGTAACACAGACATATTTAGTATCTCTGGAAACCTTAAAACATCAAAATGATAAAATTCACATAAATTATAATTAAACATAAAATACAACCAGGAAATAGTAATGTGCATTTTTAACTCCATTACACATCCAACTGGGAAATTAAACATGCTCACTTTTTCGGAGGACCCTTCCCAGTATGCATTGCGCGATAACTAGGGGTGTAACGATATCCATGTCTCACGATACGATATCGTCACGGTCTGAACCTCACGGTACGATATTTATTGTGATGTCGTGGGAAAGCTCACGATATGGTGGGGAGGCTCACGATTAGGGATGTAACAATATCCAAATCTCACGGTACGATATTTATTGTGAGATTTTGTGGAGGCGAACAAAATTGTTACTATGCGACTTTTTCTTTTTTCTTCTTAAAATGCCCTGACAACTTAACCCAAAGAACTAAGACTTAAAGGTTGTATGGAGGATTTTTTTTGTTTCAAATTGTCAATGATAGATTATAGAGATGCAGTAGCCTTGTAATTATGATGACCAAAAAAAAGAGAATAAAAATTCATCAACTCTGGACGTGGTGGGGCTAAACATTTGCCAATAGATAACGACACTGCCTCGTTATCTGTGAGCTGACAGGCTGTCAATCAAACTCCCTACGTTTCTAGTGTAACTGACTTGCCTGCGCCGCCGGTACGTGGTTTACGTACGACTGTCACGCAGTCCACAGACGCAAGACGCACAGACGCTGTTTACTCCACCAACGCAACAGTTCTTAGCGGCTTTTTTTGACCTATATCTTCCTCGCAGTTCGCACAAAGTTTGTTGCAATGGCGACAAGAATCCAGGAGCAGTTCGCCGCAAAAGAAAGTCCAGTTTTTGAGGTCGCTGAAAGAAGAAGACAAGGGGAAAAGCAGCGAAGCCAAACTAAGGTGATTCTTGTAGATTCATTCCAGCGATGGCGCGACTGAAGCAGACGCAGGGTCTAAAGACTGACGCACTGGTCCACAAATTACTCCTGGACAGGAAACTTCTGCTTATTATGAAAACGTACTTTATTTCCAAGAGCTAGACAAACGTTTTTCAGGACACGAAAGCGATATCCTATGTCTGAAAACGTAATTTTCAAGGCAAAGAAAGAGTCCGCTTGCTGCTGCGTGTTGTAGCTAGTTCATTCGCACTGAATCTCCGCGCAACCTTCTCTGCACCCCTTTCCTGCTCCTGTCCCCGCTGCCCGATCCGCTCTTCCCCCTGCTCCTCACTTCTCCGGGCACGAAATCTCCGCGCACCGCTCCCTCTCCTCTCTCCTCTGCTCCTCACTCTCCTCACTTCTCCGTCTTGCCTAACCAACACTGTAGTTAGTTGTTTACAAGTCATGTGCAGCACCGGCTGTAAACAAACCTGTTTCTGGCGTAAGGAGGAGGAGGGAGGAGGCGTTTCTACGTAGGAGCTGTAGGGGAGGGGGGGTGGTTTCACACATGCGCAACATTTGAAAAAGGACAAACAGTCGCTGGATTTCTCGTTCCTTGGAAAATCCTCTATACAACCTTTAAAAGTGCTTATTTCTTGTAGTCTACACTTAAATGGAGCAAAGGATCATGGTCTATGTAGTTCTTTGTCTTTTTTTTTTTACAAATTCTTGCACCATAACTTTTAATTTAAGCAAAGAGACTTGTAATTTGATATATATTGATGTATTGTGATGGTCCACGATATTATTGTGAGAACTTTGACGATACGATATTTCGGTTATTGTTAAATTCGTGATGCATGTTTACATTGAAATTTCAGTTTTCTGAGTGTTTCCTGTTTGAGGAAAGAACCTAAATGTGTCATATTTGTGTGTTTAAACATGTGCGAATGAAACAAAACACAACTCCAGGTCTGTTTGTGATGAGGAAACAACAGAACATGGATTAAAAAATAAAAAAAAAAGCATAATTTAGGCGCTTTAAACTACATGGAAAACTTTCTGCAGTACAAGCATTCCTTCTGTTGTGTGGGTTTGATGACAACAGCGATATTGTGCGTTCTTGTGTCTAAATATAAACGAGCGAGCGCAGCGAGGGCCCAGTCAAACAGAATGGTCTGCAGTCTGGAGCTGGGATTGTCACTGAAGGGTAAAATTACATGTTCCTGTGTCAGAGTCTCCTGGTTTATGTGTCTCTGCGCCAACCAGAAGAGGTAAAGACCAAAAAGCACCAAAACCAAAGCTTCATGGACGAGAAGGGAGGGTCCCAGAAGAGGTCAGATGAACATGGGGGCGGGTCTGTCGCTGTCTGAAACACGTGCTGCTACAACGCATCAAAACTGGGACCAGAATTGGAACTTAACCAGGACTAGAAAAGGACTAGACCAAAACAAACCAGGACTAGACCAGGACTGAAACAGGACGAAACTAGAAGTAGACAAGAAATAGATGAGGAGGAGATCAGGAGTAGACCAGGACTAGACCTAGGACTAGAAAAGGACTAGACCAAGGCAAACCAGGACTAGACCAGGACTTGACCAGGTCTGAACCAGGACTCAACAACAAGTAGACCAGGACTAGAACCAGGACTACACCCAGGAATATACCCTGGAATAAAACATACACAGCGCATTAAAACTCGGACCAAAATTGGAACTTGACTAGGACCAGGCCCAGGACTAAACCAGGACTAGACCAGGACTGGACCAGGACTAGACCATAAGTAGACCAGGACTAGACACAGGACTAGACACAGGACTAGAAACAGGACTAGACCCAAGACAAAAGACTGGAATAAAATATATACAACACATCAAAATTGGGATCAAAACTGGAACTGGACCAGGAATATACCAGGACTAGACCCAGGACTAGACCAAGACAAACCAGGACTAGACCACGACTAGACCCAGGACTAGACCTAGGACTAGACCCAGGACTAGAAAAGGACTAGAAAAGGGCTAGACCAAAACAAGCCAGAAGTAGACCCAGAACTAGACCCAGAACTAGACCAGGACTAGACCCAGGACTAGACCAGGACTAGACCAGGACTAGACCAGACTAACCAGGACTAGAACCAGGACTACCCAGGAATATACCCTGGAATAAAACATACACAGCGCATTAAAACTCGGACCAAAATTGGAACTTGACTAGGACCAGGCCCAGGACTAAACCAGGACTAGACCAGGACTGGACCAGGACTACATAAGTAGACCAGGACTAGACACACAAACAGACTAGACAGAAAACACTGGAATAAAATATACACAACACATCAAAATTGGGATCAAAACTGGAACTGGACTACAGGACCAGAACTAGACCAGGACTAGACCAGGACTAACCAGGACTAGAAAACGACAGAAAACGACTAAACCAAGACACCAGGACTAGACAGGACTAGACAGACCCAGAGACTAGACCTAGACTAGACTAGACCAGGACTAGAAAAGGACTAGAAAAGGACTAGACAAACAGGACTAGACCAGACTAGACTAAACTAGACCAGAAGGACTAGACCAGGACTAGAAAGACCAGGACTAGACCAGGACAGAACCAGGACTGACAACAGACCAGGACAGGAACCCAATATACTGGAAAAAACATACACAGCGCATTAAAACTCGGACAAAATGGAAGACTAGGACCAGGCCCAGACTAAACCAGGACTAACCAGACTGGACCAGACCATAAGTAGACTAGACACAGGACTAGAAACAGACTAGACCCAAGACAAAAGACTGGAAAAAAATATACACAACACATCAAAATTGGGATCAAAACTGGAACTGGACAGGTATACCAGGACTAGACCAGGACTAGACAAGACCAGAACTAGACCAGACTACAGACAGACTAGACAGACTAAAGGACTAGAAAAGACTAGACGACTAGACAAGACCAGGATAGACCACGACTAGACCAGGACTAGACAGACTAGACTAGAAAACTAGACCAAAACAACAGAATAGACCAAACTAGACCAGAACTAGACCAGGACTAGAACAGGACCCAGAATAACCTGGAAAAAACTACACAGCGCATTAAAACTCGGACCAAAATTGGAACTTGACTAGGACCAGCCCAGGACTAGACCAGGACCAGACTAGACTAGACTAGACACAGGACTAGACTAGACCCAGAAGACTGGAATAAAATATACAACTAGATCAAAACTGGACTGGGAAATACAGACTAGAAGACAGATAGACCAGGACTAGACCAGACTAACCCAGGACTAGAAAAGACTAGAAAAGACTAGACTAGACCAGACTAGACCAGACTAGACTAGACTAGACCAGGACTAGAAAAGGACTAGAAAAGGCTAGACCAAAACAGCCAGAAGTAGACAATAGACCAGAACTCAGAACTAGACCCAGGACTAGAACCAGGACTACACCCAGGAATATACCCTGGAATAAAACATACACAGCGCATTAAAACTCGGACCAAAATTGGAACTTGACTAGGACCAGGCCCAGGACTAAACCAGGACTAGACCAGGACTGGACCAGGACTAGACCATAAGTAGACCAGGACTAGACACAGGACTAGAAACAGGACTAGACCCAAGACAAAAGACTGGAATAAAATATACACAACACATCAAAATTGGGATCAAAACTGGAACTGGACCAGGAATATACCAGGACTAGACCAAGACAAACCAGAACTAGACCAGGACTAGACCAGGACTAACCCAGGACTAGAAAACGACTAGAAAATGACTAGACCAAGACAAACCAGGACTAGACCACGACTAGACCCAGGACTAGACCTAGGACTAGACCCAGGACTAGAAAAGGACTAGAAAAGGGCTAGACCAAAACAAGCCAGAAGTAGACCCAGAACTAGACCCAGGACTAGAACCAGGACTAGACCCAGGACTAGAACCAGGACTACACCCAGGAATATACCCTGGAATAAAACATACACAGCGCATTAAACCTCGGACCAAAATTGGAACTTGACTAGGACCAGGCCCAGGACTAAACCAGGACTAGACCAGGACTGGACCAGGACTAGGCACAGGACTAGACACAGGACAAAACACTGGAATAAAATATACACAACACATCAAAATTGGGATCAAAACTGGAACTGGACCAGGAATATACCAGGACTAGACCAAGACAAACCAGAACTAGACCAGGACTAGACCAGGACTAACCCAGGACTAGAAAATGACTAGAAAACGACTAGACCAAGACAAACCAGGACTAGACCACGACTGGACCCAGGACTAGACCCAGGACTAGAACCAGGACAAGACCCAGATAGACCAGGACTAGAACCAGGACTAGACCCAGGAATAAAACATACATAATGGAACAAACTAAATCTATCGCAATAAAACTAAGGTCTTCACTTGACAGAAATTTAAATTTGGTTTAAAATGTAAATGTTATTAAAGGGAGTTTTAATTTCAATAATTGTATTGTACACGATGAAGTCAAATCTGTGTTGCTCTAGAGCAGATATATTGCAGAAGCAGCTCAAAATCTGCATCTGATCATAAAGTGTTTTTATTTTATTGAAAGTTGGAAAATGCTCATGTAACGGTGAATAATTTGGATGCTCGGAATTAAGACAAGTCAGGAATAACTCTGGATCAATACATGCTGTAAATGAAGTTCTGTTTTCCATGTTTTTAAGAGAGTAAAACTCAGACACAGCCCCTTTAATGCGTCTCTCTGCTCTCTCCAGGCGTCTCTGCTGGACCTGAAGGAGAAAGCCTCGTCCATGGCCTCGTCTGCGGTGAAGAGGGACAACCGCCTGAAGACTCTGGAGATCAGCCTGGAGCAGAAGAAGGAGGAGTGTGTCAAACTGGAGAGCCAACTCAAGAAGGTTAAACAACACTTACAAATACACTTTACACACGAGCAAGTAACAATGCACTTAGTACTTAGTATTTATTTAAAAAGGGGGTTTGTGATTCACCCACAAACCATGACGTGACTAGTTCAAACATCTCCGTGCCATTGTTGTTTTCCAGAGTAAGACAAGACAAATCTATAATCATCTTCACTACAAACTATTCCTGCACTACTTAATTCCAGTAGCTGTGGTATAAAACCTAAAACATATACATTTTTTATTTCAAATGATAATCCAGTGCACCTTATGTATGAAAATAGACCAGAGAATTCAACATTATTGATATTGTGCCTTATAATCCGGTGCGCCTTATAGTCTGAGAAATACGGTAGCTTTTACTGATAATAATTTTGTTGCTGATTTAGTTGCAAAAAGATTGGGCACGATGGCTACCTCGTTTGTTATAATTTGATGTTTTGGTTTTGATTGATTGATTGATTTGTTTTTATTTTGAGTTTGTGCCAAGAGAGAAACAATAATCATATACACTACATACACATTGTAAACAACAGAAAAGGACATTTCTCGATAAGGAGTGGGAAGAAGAAAAACTTATATGAACCCACCTCTGTTCATCATGACATAGTTTCAAAAATGATGTGGTTGCTTCTAGGGATGGGCATTCGATTAAATTTTATTACTCGATCGTCGGAAGAATTAACGATCGATTATTGATTAATCATTAACGTTTTTATATTTAAAATGATCATCATTATTATTATTATCTGCACTACTAATCTGCATAAATAAATTCAACTTTACGACATATAAACCGTAACTGCTCTAGAGGGCGGCATAAACATCTCAGGTTGAGCTGACCCACGGTTTGGCTGGTGTGATTCCAGCTCCCACAGGTGAATGCTGTTGTTGTGTCCTTGGGCAAGACACTTAACCCACCTTGCCCACAGTGTCTGCGTACACATGTGGGTGTGAATGGGTGAGTGGTTCCTTGTTGTAAAGTGCCTTGAAGGTGGAAAAGCGCTATAGAAAAATGTGACCATTAGAGCCACATCAGCCCGTTTGACATTATAATGTGTTTAATTCAGTTTTGCGCAACTCTCACAGAAACAAAACTTAAAATCACATGGCTAATTTGCATAAACTAAGTGAAGAAAAAAAGCAGCTCTTGTGCTGATGCGGTTCAACTTCTGTCGGATTAAAAGACATGACTCAGGTGAATACAGGTTAGTGTGACCATATTTGCGTTTGTCAAAACCAGGACACCGTACGGGGGGAGGGAGGTGGGGACTCGTCATCCGACATTGAGCGACTCTCACCTGGCAAAGCTTTTTAATGTTTTTCGGTGTCCTGGTGAACTTTTTCCCACTGGACACCGAAACATATGTGCTGCTTTTGTCAGGTAGTGCGAAGATTGGCTCCAAAAGACCCAGAGTCGAAGCAGTATTAAACGGGTTTTAATGAATCCAAAAGACTTGCAAAACACAGAAACATCCACAGAACAGAAAAACAATCTGATAAATGGGGGAAGACAAGACACAGACTAAAAAGGGGAGCTAATGGGACACAGGTGCAGCACATTAGGGCGGGGCAGTAATCAAAGGCGGGAACACAAGAGGGAGGAAGTAAACTGCAACAGAAAACAGGGTAAGTAATTACAAAATTAAAGGGAACAAACAGGACATGACAGCTTTGTACACTGTGCACATGGCCTCCCACTTGTCCCCACCGGAACGGAAAGCGTGGAATTTCTTGTACAAGTCATCGTTAACTGCACATTTACGCTTCGGTACGTTGCAGGCTGAATGACTGTTTGTGTCTCGCTCCTTCTGAGTGCAGAGAGACACATGTCCGGACGCCCGTTTGTACCCGGACACGGACGTTTGGTCTCCCTACGCTACGCACAGCAACCTGCATTCGGTTTGTCGATTAAAATTAACGTAATCGATGAAATTCTTAGTGATCAATTATCGATTAATCGACTAATCATGCCCATCCCTAGTTGCTTCTGTACATTGATCACGGAACTTAACAAATATTTGGGCTCAGTCAAGCAGAAGTAAACAACAAGGCCAAAAATTCAAGTTAATGCATCTGATATAAAAATGTATTGAACAGATACATATGTACTCTAGTTTATGAAACTGTTTACCTTTTTTCTGTACCATTTTTGATTCTAAAGTTACATACGTTTTAAACAGACCATGTATGAAACATGGAACAAAAATTATTTCCCAAATTTCAAAGACCTGAAAATCATGTAAATAAACTGGATGTATTTCATCATATCTTGTGTTATTCCATCTTTGAACTGTTGATGAAGGTACATGATTTTTTTTTTTTTATGTATTTAAAATGATAAAAATTTCCTTGGAAGGACTGACATATTTTATAGAAATAGTTTCCTTTCATTTTGAAGTAATATTAAAGTATTCGGAAGAAAAAAGCGACAAATTATGTAAAATCCTGCACCTTCTACTTGTTTGCACAATTTTCCCTCCGTTACTTTTCCCTCCGTTACCATGACCTTTCTTAATAAAAAAATCTCATGACTCAAAAAGTAAGAGGTTTTTCAACCTAATCTTGTACCATATGGTAGAAAACTATATGAAGCAAATATTCAAACCAGTTTGTTAAGGATATGTAAGTGAGAACCAAGAGTTATCACTGTTTGTATTTATTGCCCAAAAAGTGCTGCATATTTCATTCCCTCCGTTACCAACATGAGTTTTTACATTTTTTTGTCAACAACTTGAAAGAATATCACAGGTTTAACTTTACCCTGTTGGAGTGTAACTCTTTCCTACATTCTGATACTTTACTTATTTCAATAGTTCCTCTAGTTTCTGAATAAGAGACATTTGAATGTCAAAAATCTGCCCCCGTTTCCCTCCGTTACCACTTGACCGGATCCATTTACATTTTCAAGATGATTATCCAATCAGAAAGCAGAATGATCCTCACATGAGTCATTTGGGTTGCCAGTTTCAATGCTTAAATCCAGTTGGTTTAAACCTAAAATGCCACTCTCTGATCTGAATGTTACCAAGTTTGTGTTTTGACCATGTTGCAGTACTTTTACCCTTCGTATCGTACGTTCTTTCCGTTGGTGCTGTTTAAAAGGCCCATGTGTCAGACTGTGATTTTTGGCTCATTTTACAGTGACATGAGTCCAACACCACTTCATCACACACATACAACTTACAACACCCCACCTCTCTCCCCCTCTTCTCTCTCTCTCTCTCTCTTTCCCTCTTTGCTTTCTTCTATCGCTTCCTTCCCTAATCTCTCTTCCACCATTTTCCTTATTTCCATTTTCGTTTTTCCTCTTTCTATTTGTTTTTTCTCTTCCCCCTGCTCTCTCAACTCCGTCGTTCTCTCTCACACCTCTCACTTCACCCACTTTCAAATCTCCCTTTTCTCCCTCTCACTCACCTCTTTCCTCTCCCATTTTTTCCTTCTCTCTTGTCCCTACTCCTCTCTTCTCTCTCCCTCTTCTACCTCTATCCTTCTCTCTCCTATCCCTCTCTCTTCCCACCTACGTCCCTCTCTCTTTTCGTCTCTCTCTCTCAATGACCTCTCTCTCTTTTACCATTGATTTCTTTTTCTTCTCTTCTCTTACCCTCTTCTCTCTTTTTTTTCTGTCTCTCTCTGTCTCTCTCCTCTCGCTACCTCCTTCTCTCTCTCTCTCTCTTTCTCTTTCCCTCTCGTGTACGTGTTTCCAGCCTCGTGTGTGTGTTTGTTTTTCACATGTTCACACCAACACACACGACATAACAGCCAATAAAACAGTGTGTGGAGACTTTATGACAACTTCACACCACTCTCCAGTTCTGTAAAAGGTACTAGAGCTGAAATTAACTATTATTTAATCAAAATAATTAATAAAAAAAGTAGAGATTTATGTGTTTTTTAGATCAGCCCTAGATTTAAAAGGTCCAAGATCAGGCCTAGATTTCAGGGGCCGTCCACACGACAACGTTTTTGGGTCAAAACGTAGAAGTTTGTATTCGTTTTGGTTTTTCGTCCACACGAAGCCAGCGTTTCAGGTGGACGACAACGGAGGGTTTTGAAAACGGGTTCCAGAGTGGAGAAATCTGAGAACGCCGGCGTCACGTTGTCGTGTGGACGAGAAAACTGCAGCTTTTGGAAAATGATGACGACGCGAACCCGTCATCGCCAGGGTCCTCCTATGCAGCGAAGCCCGCAGCCCTCGAACTGGCTTCCACGGACCACAAGCTCGTTGCCAAAATGGGACAGTGTAGCCCACGGAGCCGCTCCTGTCGCCAGCAACCGAGACACACGCTAATGCTAATGTTAAGAACATGCACCGCAGGTTACGCACGGATCAACTACATTTACACTGAAATCAATCTGTGTATCACCGTATCAGAAACGAACTGCATCCACACACGTCGTTTCTGTGTTTGCAAGTCTTCCTCCACACAGCTTTGTGCATATTTATTTACATTTTACAGAAACGAAACTTAAAACCACATGTCTCATTTGCATAAATTGATCTAAAAAAAAAAAAAAAACAGCTCGCTCCTTGTGCGCTGATGTGGTTCAGCTTCTGTCGGACTAAAGGACACGACTCAGTGGATTTTATGTGTTCTTTCTGTGACTTATGTTTAACTTTTGCCAAACAAAATGGTTATATTTCTGGGATACATCAAAAATAGGCTAAGTTACCTTAAAGTTAAAAAAACGGTGATGAGATCTGCATTATTGAATATTATTATCATTGTTAACAGCGCCACATACAGGTGTGGCAGATATATTACATCGTTTTCACTCAGTGCTCCTTCGTGTGGACACAAGTATTTATTGATCCGGTACATGTGTGGATACGAATTCCAGGAGAGTTGATGTGTGGACGTAGCGTTAAAAGGTCCTAGATCAGGCCCTAGATTTAAAACGTCCCTAGACTTAAAAGGTCCTAAATCAGGCCTAGGCTTAAAAGGTCCCAGATCAGGTCTAGACGTAAAAGGTCCTAGATCAGGCCTAGTTTTAAAAGTCCTAGATCAGGCCTAGATTTAAAAGGTCCTAGATCAGGCCTAGACTTTAAAAGGGCTAGATCAGGCCTAGACGTAAAAGGTCCTAGATCAGGCCTAGATTTAAAAGGTCCTAGATCAGGCCTAGATTTAAAAGGTCTAGATCAGGCCTAAATAAAAGGTCATAGATCAGGCCTAGATTTAAAAGGTCCTAGATCAGGCCTAGATTTAAAAGGTCTTAGATCAGGCCTAGACTTAAAAGGTCCTAGATCAGGCCTAGATTTAAAAGTCCTAGGTCTAGATAGGCCTAAATTTAAAAGGTCCTAGATCAGGCCTAGATTTAAAAGCCTAGATCAGGCCTAGATTTAAAAAGGTCCTAGATCAGGCCTAGATTTAAAAGGTCCTAGATCAGGCCTAGATTTAAAAGGTCTAGATCAGGCCTAGACGTAAAAGGTCCTAGATCAGGCCTAGATTTAAAAGGTTAGATCAGGCCTAGATTTAAAAGGTCCTAGATCAGGCCTAGTTTTAAAAGGTCCTAGATCAGGCCTAGATTTAAAAGGTCCTAGATCAGGCCTAGATTTAAAAGTCCTTGTTTAGGCCTAGATTTAAAAGGTCCTAGATCAGGCCTAGACGTAAAAGGTCCTAGATCAGGCCTAGATTTAAAAGGTCCTAGATCAGGCCTAGATTTAAAAGGTCCTAGATCAGGCCTAGATTTAAAAGGTCTAGATCAGGCCTAGATTTAAAAGGTCCTAGATCAGGCCTAGATTTAAAAGGTCCTAGATCAGGCCTAGATTTAAAAGGTCCTAGATCAGGCCTAGATTTAAAAGGTCCTAGATCAGGCCTAGATTTAAAAGGTCCTTAGATCAGGCCTAGACTTAAAAGGTCCTAGATCAGGCCTAGATTTAAAAGGTCCTAGATCAGGTCTAGACGTAAAAGGTCCTAGATCAGGCCTAGATTTAAAACGTCCTTGTTTAGGCCTAGTTTTAAAAGGTCCTAGATCAGGCTAGATTTAAAGTCCTAATCAGTCTAGATTTAAACATCTAGATTTAAAAGGTCCTAGATCAGGCCTAGATTTAAAAGGTCCTAGATCAGGCCTAGATTTAAAAGGTCCTAGATCAGGCCTAGACGTAAAAGGTCCTAGATCAGGCCTAGACGTAAAAGGTCATAGATCAGGCCTAGATTTAAAGGTCCTAGATCAGGCCTAGATTTAAAAGGTCCTAGATCAGGCCTAGATTTAAAAGGTCCTAGATCAGGCCTAGATTTAAAAGGTCTTAGATCAGGCCTAAATTTAAAAGGTCCTAGATCAGCCCTAGACTAAAAGGTCTAGATCAGGCCTAGATTTAAAAGGTCCTAGATCAGGCCTAAAAGGTCCTAGATCAGGCCTAGATTTAAAAGGTCCTAGATCAGGCCTAGATTTAAAAGGTCCTAGATCAGGCCTAGATTTAAAAGGTCTTAGATCAGGCCTAGGTTTAAAACGTCCAAGATCGAGTTAAATGACGTGTTTATCTGCGTTTCCTTCAGGCCCAGAGTGCAGCCGCAGAGTCCCAGGCGAGCTCTGAGCTGAGTGAGAGGATCTCGAGTCTGGAGCAGGAGGTTTCTCAGCACAGAGACGACGCAGCCAAAGCTCAGACGGAGGTGGAGCGGCTGCTGGAGATCCTCAGGGAGATGGAGAACGAGAAGAACGACAAAGAGAAGAAGATCCACGAGCTGGAGAGGTGAGGACACACATAAGGAGAAGAAATTATGTTAAAATATAAAAATACAAGACATGGTAATGCATTAGAAGCCTATAAATAAGTGCAAATTAAGCTTATAATCAGAGGTAGTTAGCGTGGAGTTTCACCAAAATAAAATAAAATAAAATAAACGTCCAAAATATATAAATGTATTTAGTACATTTTGACTTCTACCATATAAATTGGACAGTTTTTTTGTTTAGTCCAGTCTGTTTGGGCAATTAACATTATACGTTCTTAAATAAAATAGAAAACAAGTAATAAAAATGTCTCAGCTATAAACAAAAGGTCGTAAAACAGTGTAAAAATGACATGATGATTGACAGGACATAGGTTTATCTGTTACATAAGGGTGAGTTGTAGCCCAGTTGTAGGGAGTATTAGAGTACTTCTGTTTGATAACTAGTCTGGATTTAAGTTCTTCTTGAAGCATATTTTTGAGTAGGGCTGAGCAATTAATCAAAAAACTGAGGGATGGTGAATGAATCATGTTTAATCGTCAGTGACACGGTGAGTTTTTGAATCGAGAAATCCACAGCCGGTCGTCTTCCAATAAAAACATGTGGTCTGGAGCAGAGTTCAGACTTTGGAGGGAGAAATTTGAAGCCTGTAGTGTTAATATGTATGAAATCAGTACTAATAACCTTTTTGAAACAACAACAAAATTTGTGGATAGAATTGAAAAAAAAATAAATAAATCATGATACATTTTTTCCCCAATATTGATTGATTGCTTTCAGATTCTATAAGGTGATTATGTCATATTACCAGATGGGGGCTAAGGGCCAGATTTCCCTACGGCGGATGATTTATTTATCAGCAGATGTGCGCAGCCTGAGTGCAGAAAGAGCCGCTGTCTGTGAAGTTAAAGAAGTTGCAACACTGGCCAGTAGAGGTGTGCATTGCCTTGAGTCTGATGATACAATACATCATCAATAATATCATAATATGCATGTCACGATTCAATATATCTCGATATATCCCTATACTAAAACACAGGACGATATATTGCGATTTATTAATAATTACTTATATTAATACAGTCAACTGCACCTTCACAAGAGCACAATTGGATGAAATATAATTTATAAAAATGTTTAAGAACAGTGAATGTAAATAATAAATTTTGGTGAAAAATATTATTTTAAAAATCCATTCAGATGCATTTTGAATCGATTTGAGAATTGTGCAAGGACGTTTCACGATATATCACTGGATCGATTTTTTTTTTTCTTACACCCCTACTAGCTGGCGCTGTTGTCAGCATTAAAACAGTTTATTGTTGTGTGAAAAAATGCTGATATGAGGCTAAATTAACATTGGTGAATGAGATACGTCTTAATGCGTTAAATGCCGGTGAGTGCATAAACGACGAGAAGAAATGTCTCAAATTTGAGTAGCCGGACATCCACTCATACCTGATCGATAAACCTATCCCCGCCCCCGGGAGAGTCTGAAATCTGCTGAAATCTTACGAGACACAGACATGATACAGACAGGACAGCGACTCTTTCTGCAGGAGACATGCGCAGTAGAGCCCAAAGTGACATAATCTAATAATCCTGCTGTTGATTACACTCTACTTTGCCATGAAATATCCGAAAGGTAAATTCTAGAAGTGTAACAATATCCAAGTCTCACGATACGATATCGTCACAGTATGAACCTCACGATACGATATTTATTGTGATACGTTGGGAAAGCTCACGATTATGGATGTAACAATATTCAAATCTCTCAGTACGATATTTTCAAGATATTTATCTCTCACTACGATATTTATCACGATAGTTTGTTGAGGCTGCGAACAAAACTGTTAATATTCTACTTTTTCCTCTTAAAATGCCTTGACAAGACTTAAGCCAAAGAACTAAGACCTAAAAGTGCTTGGAACTGTTATTTCTTCTTGCAGTCTGCAATGAAATGGAGCAAAGGATCATGGTCCATGTAGTTCTCTGTCTTTTTTTTTTAGCTATTGCTGCACCATAACTCTTAATTTAAGCAAAGAGACTTGAAATTCGATATATTGTGACAGTCCACGATATTATTGTGAGAATTTGACGATATCAGTTATTGTTACATCCCTTGTAAATTCACAAATTTTGAACCTATTTTTTTACATTTTTAACTAAACTCAAAAACTCACTGTAGCATAACATAATTTACGATTTTAAGAATTAAAATTTTTGTTGCTCCTCATCTGTGTTCGTTAATATCAGCCTATAAAATACTGTGATGTAATAGCCCAGCCCTATTTTTGTGAAGTATTGATCGAATGATAGGAGTTTTTTTCATGACCTATGCCGACGATTGTTTAGAATCCAAAGAGACTGATAAACTTAGTCGATATTTTTGGACTAATTTTGATTATTTTCCCCAAATTCTTGACTTAAATTGACTAAAAACTCACCACAAACCTTTTAAAAGAGCTGTGTAGTCACGTTGTGTGCAGTTTTCTCTTTGTAATAAAGTCAGAATCAGAATTTATTTGTCATTTCAGCATTAAAAAAAACCCCACAAAACTGTACTGTGGTCCAAGTCAGCTAAAATAAAGTATCGACCTTTGCTGGAGATTTAACTAATTAACAAAAAAGTGCAAATATTCTCTGTAGTTTATCTACCTCTGCTTATAAATCTTATGTTAATTTTCTTTATACAGTAAAAATTAAGTACATTCACACTAATCATCTAGCTTTTTGTCTTTTTCCACCTCTTTTTTTCTTCGTTTTTCATCATTTTTTCTTAAACCATCAACAATGTTTTCTTGAATTTCTCTTTTTTCAAATGTATTGTTGAATTACCTACACGTTTTCATATGTCTGAGCGCGTTTTACATTTATATCTTTGCATTTCGATTACGCAAAAGAAATCCTCAACTCCAGAGGAATCAGACCCCGCCCCCTCCCTCTCAGCAGCCAATGGGGGGGCTGGTCTGGGACTACCTGGGCACGTGAGTGGCTAGTGGACCTGTCACTTGTTTGAATACCAAAAAAAAAAACTATTAAAAAACTCACTTTGCTTGACAGACGAAGGGATATGAGAGCGCTCCCTTGTGGAAAATGTGAAAAGGTGTTGGATTTAAATTTAAAAATCTTATAGTTTTGTCATTTAAATTGTAAAAAGTGCAAACCGTAATGATATTTTCAGATAAAGAGGATTCGTAAACCTGACTTTTCCACATGGGACAGAGCTGAGAATGTTCACTAATAAACACCAGGGCTGCACAAGAATCTGTTATCGCAAAATCAGCTGTCAAAAATATATAATGTCACTAATTATTATTTATTTCTTACAATAGCTATACATTTAAGCAATTTTGCTAGCTATTTAACAGAATTTTCACTAATTTTGGGCCTTTTATCTGTTACAAACAACTCTCGATGACAAATAATAAATCAAAAACATACCTGGAGTTCTGTTTTGTTTCATTCATACATATTTATTCTTGAATGTTGGTAGTTGATAAATCCAAGTCAGTTCCTCCGACATCTGTTGTAAATTCGTTCCGGGAAAATATGGACGCCCGAGAAAGTTTAATGTTTATTTTGTTCGCTTATGTAGTTAAAGCGCCACCTAGTGCCTCCGCTCAGTTTCATTTCTCTTCAGCGACTAGGTCAGGAATCAGAATACACTAGACGGTTTGCAAAAACCACGGAAGTGCGACTTTGGGCACCAGCCAATCAGCGAAGAGCCAGACATCCTGTGTTGACAACGATTCCCGAGATCGAGGATTTAAAGCCGGAATAAAGAGAATGTTTGGTGAATTTTATCAAGGGGAAAGACGTTATTGTCCTTCTTCCTACAGGATTTGAGAAAAGCTTAATATACCAGTTAGACCCGTTAGAGGTGCACTACATACCTCACGACCAAATAACAGTGATTGGTTAAATGATAAAAAGTACCCGTCTTCCGTCGAGCTAACGAATTCTAACACTGCAAGGTCAGACGGTTTCTACGAAGTGAATGGCAGTTTGTACTAGTAGTTTATTTTCTTCGGTCGGTTAACATAACCGCACATCATATAACAATGATTTAACACAAAAAATTATGCAGTTAATGCATATCAATAAAGTTATTCTGTAGACTGAAGGGGTTAAGGCTGAAGTTTAACACTTGTTTTGCCAAACCCTATTAACATGTAGAACAGGATACAAGATGGCACAACTATTTACAGAACACATACACAATACAGAACACAATCCAGCATACATCGATGTTTATACACACACACACACTGACCCTGTACATGTTAATAATTATACCTATTGGCTTATAAATACACTTAAATATATAAATATAATTGGGGGTTACAGTTATTCTGTAGGTTCTGTATGTAGTTTGACTTTGACATGTTCAGAAATCCATCCAATTCGATCTGTTAAAAAGCAGGCCAAGTTTGTGTTTCGAAACCCCGATTTGATTGGCCATTCCATTGCACTTTTTCGAGGTGGAGGTTGATTTTCCCAGAGTCCTGAGCGCAACAGAACTCAGCATAAAGCTACGTTTATATGATGATGGTCTGAACAGAAGACGCAAAAGTGGCGTCGCGTCTTCACTTTTTATTCCACGTTTAGACGAGCGTTTTCGGGAGGAAATCTGCGTGCATATGGTGACGCAAAAGTGTGTGGAATTCGATTGGGTTTGTATGTCAGGCGGTGATGTATGTGATGTAAACTCGTACGCAACGTGAGCAGATCTGACCAGAGTTTTGCGTCTTGGGCAGCGTAGACCAAAAAACTACGTTGGAGTGTATTCAACTTTTCCACTCTGGAGGGTAGTTTCAGATTTTTGCATTTTTAAGCCCCAAAAACGCCGTCACCGTCTAAACGAAAGGCACTTCCGATAAAATATTCTGTTGTTTTTACCCGCAAGCGTTCTCATGTAAACAGACCCACAGACACAATTCTTCTGCATATTTAGGTTCTGCTCCACCTCGTGATGTCATGTTGTAAAATAGCAAGAGCTCCACTGCGTTTTTA